GATACGTTCACGGATTTAATTTCATTACTAGGTTTTGTCCGCGACTTCATTTACGTAGAAGGTGAAAATATTTTTGAGTAATAGCTATAAAGGAGCTATTTACGGTACCGAAATCACGGTCTTTAACCGACATCAAAGATGAGGTTTTCAATTCGACCACCATTTTTTTATCTATGTATGTTCACCGAATTCTCGAGAATGCTTGAACCGATTCTGATGATTCTTTTTTCTTTTATTTTTGGTCCAAAAGGTAGACTTCTCGAATGGTCTTGTAATTATCAGGAGCAGGATCTGATGATGGGATCCTGGAGAAATCGAGAAAAATCTACAATTTTCGAAGCCTATCTTGAAGTGATTTGGGTGTTTCTTGTTATTCTTCTTATTCTGTGCCGCCGCGCACCAGCCTGCCGGCGCCTTATACATCTAGGTATATTACGCGCTTGATCATTATTTTGCTGCGATGTTATTTTAAAGCTGCGATATCTTCTAAGATGCTCATTGAAATCAAATGATGTAAAGAGCAAATTTATTTTAAATTAAATACTTGTAATGATTAATGATTTATTTGGATAATGATTAATATCATCTTTATAACTGTCGTGTACTTTTTTTTAAAACTTTGAAAGGGGAACAATTATTCTTTCATATATTATTTTAGCGAAACTTTAACCATTTCCGCAGCGCACGCAGCGGAAGCTCTCAAAAGGGAAAAAACCCCAATTTTGAAACTTTGTATTGTATTGGTCTTACCATGATGTTATATAGCCTATAACCTTCCTCAATAAATGGGCTATCTAACATTGAAAGAATTTCTGACCAGTAGTTCCTGAGATTAGCGCGCTCAACCAAACAAACTCTTCGCCTTTATAATGTTAGTATAGATATTACATTTGTGCACTTTCAGGACTTAAACGTGTAATAAACCACCATTACCGCACATTTGCACCAGAAGGAACAAAATAAATAATTTTATTAAAATTTTCCTTGATTTTCATTCTTTACACGATTATTCTGTCTTCGCGAACACGTTCCTGAACAAAATTGACAGGTTGGTTGAGGAAAATATTCAGAAAAAGAAAAATTGAACCTACTCTAGGATAAACTCGTAGCGTATTCGCATTACTGCACCAGCCCCATTATTCTAATTTAAATTGTGAGCATGTAAAGGGTTTTTCATTAACAACGCTCCAACTTGAAGAAGGGTGACCGGTTGGACCCATCGAGTTATAGGCCTATCGCGATAGCTTCCTTGCTTTCCAAGGTGATGGAGCGAATAATAAATACACAACTCCTGCAGTATCTGGAAGATCGCCGGCTGATTAGTGACCGATAATACGGTTTTCGTCACGGTCGCTCAGCTGGTGATCTTCTTGTATACCTTACTCACAAGTGGGCTGAAGTCCTGGAGAGGAAGGGCGAGGCTCTTGCTGTGAGCCTTGATATCGCGAAGGCCTTCGACAGGGCCTGGCGTAGAGCACTTCTGTCGAAGCTACCATCTTACGGAATCCCCGAGGGACTCTGCAAGTGGATCGCTAGCTTTTTGGATGGACGGAGCACCACGGTCGTTCTAGATGGTAACTGCTCTGATACCATGACCATTAACGCTAACGTTCAAGGTTCGGTGCTCTCCCCAACGTTTTTCATCCTGTATATAATGACATGCTGTCTATTGATGAAATGCATTGCTATGCGGATGACAGCACGTGGGATGCGCGATATATCGACCGTCAGTCTCTCTCGGAACGTAGTGCAAGAAAGACGATCAAAACTTGTCTAGTGGAGAACTCTCTGGGGCGAGTCTCCGAACGGGGTGACTTGAACTTAATTCAATTCAACCCGTTGAACACAATTTTGCGCGTTAACTGCGAAGAAGGATCCCTTTGTCATGGCGCCGCAATTCCAAGGAGTATCCCTGCCAGCTTCCGAGATTATCGGGATACTTGGGGTCAACATTTCAAGCGATTTCCAATTTCGGAGTCATTTGGAAAGCAAAGCCTAGCTGGCGTCCAAAATGCTGGGAATTCTCAACAGAGCGAAGCGGTACTTCACGCCTGGACTAAGACTTTTGCTTTATAAAGCACAAGTCCGGCCTCGCGTGGAGTACTGTTCCCATCAGAATCTCTGGGACGGGGCTTCCAAATATCAGCTTCTTCCATTTGACTCCATACAGAAGAGGGCCGTTCGAATTGTTGATAATCCCATTCTCACGGATCGTTTGGAACCTCTGGGTCTGCGGAGGGACTTCGGTTCCCTCTGTGTATTGTACCGTATGTTCCATGGGGAGTGCACTGAGGAATTGTTTGACATGATACCAACATCTCGTTTTTACCATAGCACCGCCCGCCAGCGTAGTAGAGATCATCCATATTACCTGAAGCCACTGCGTTCATCCACAGTGCGTTTCCAGAGATTTTTTTTGCCACGTACCATCCTGCTTTGGAATAAGCTCCACGGTGTTTCCCGTGCCCTATGACATATCCTTCTTCAAACGAGGCTTGTGGAGAGTACTTAGCGGTAGGCAGCGGCTTGGCTCTGCCCCTGGCATTGCTGAAGTCCATGGGCGACGGTAAACACTCACCATCTGGTGGACCGTATGCTCGTTAGCCTACAAGGGTCATAAAAAAAAATAAAAAACTTAAAAAATATATTTAAAAAACCTGTTTCAGTGATATTGCGCCAATTTTTATTTTATTTTAAAGAGTATTTTGATGACAGTATAAGTATATGGAATATAATTTCAGCCAAATTGCGGCCGCGACTCCGCTGTAGGTGGTGTATCCTGGTGGACCCATTTTGTATGATATCTTCGCATAAATGGGGCTCAATTTCGCGAAGAGCGCGAGTTACGTTGGCTTTCAGGGCGGCAATAGACTGTAGTTTGTCTGCATAGACTAAAGATTTCACGTAGTTCCACAGAAAGTAATTGAGTGGTGGTCACACGATCTCGGTGGCCAGTTGATATCGCCACTACGCGAAATGTCGAAGCCTTCGAATTTCTCATCCAATAAATTTAATGTTTCCCGTGCTGTATGGGAAGTGGCGCAGTCCTGTTGGAATTACATGTTTGTGAGATCAATACCATCTACCCTAGGCTACAAAAAGTTTGTTACCATCGTCCGATATCGGTCGCCAATGACAGTGAGTGCGGCTCCTTACGCATCAGTGTAGAGGCACCTGATGAATGTCTCGTGGATTTTCGTCACTCCGACTTCGGCAATTTTGTTTATTAACAAATCCACTCAATCAGAAATACCTAAGCCTCATCACTGAATTTTTTTATTTTTTTTCATACGCAGGACCGGCAGCCAAATGCTCTAGCCCAATCAGCGAATGCACGGTGCTGTCTGTGGTCGTTGGATTTTAACTCTTGGGTTAATTGAACGTTGTATGGATGAAAACCCAAATCTCGACGCAAAATCCGCCAAGTTGATGTCGCAGAAAGACCCAGCTCTTGCACACGACCCGGAATGGACTGTCTGGGTTTTTCTCGCACACTGTCCCGAACGGCAACAACATTCTTTATCGATCTTGAGTTTCTTTGACGTGCGGCTACTGTTTCATAGATCAACAACCCGGTTGTCTCAAAAATTTTCATTAAGCGATGGATTGTGGACTCTGCAGGACGGCCATGGACGCCATACCTAAATTATGACGCAATGTACAGAGCGTTATGCGAAAAGAGCACTGATTTTGTTATTATAAATTTTAATAATTTCTATATAAATCTATATATTAATAAGTGAAGCAAAAACTTTGTATCCCTTTTTACGAAAACTGCGCGGACGGAGGAGTATGAAATTTTCCACACTTATAAGTGTGTGTGTCTCTATAAGTGTGGAAAATTTCTGCACAATGCTGGAAAGTGCACAATGCTAATAGTTTTTTAAAATAACGCACAAAAGATACATTAAATCAATAAAGAAAATATTACCCACACTACATACCATGATTTGACGCACACACGCATGCATACTATTTACTGTCAAACTTTTGTTCTTGACGTCTGTGGTCAAATTGAGAATAGATTAAATATTGTTTGTCTTTATAAATATTTTTTATTGGCGAAATTTGTGATTATAGAGGTATAAAATACAATCATAATAGTGTACAAACTTATAATTCCAATTAATTATAGTCGAATTTCGACTACTGCGGGACCTCTAGTTTTAACAATTTCTACAAGTTTTTTTTTCTCCCATTTCTTGGTCTGCCCTTTCTACACGTTGCTGAATATAATTATGTTCATGCCAAATTTGACAGCGGTCGCTTTACCAAGATAGCCGCTATGAGCTGTCAAAGTTCGCGCGTCCCTATTGAAAACCCCTTTATTAAAGGTAAGAACACTACCTTGTGTATCGCCGGTAAAAGAACAGCATGAAAGCCCTTTTAGTCTAAGAAGTCGTCGTGGCCTAAAGGATAGGACGTCCAGTGCATTCGTGTTGAACGATGCACCGGTGTTCGTATCTCAGGCGTGTACCAATTTTTCTAATGAAATACGTACTCAACAAACGTCCACGATTGACTTCTACGGTGAACTAATAACATCTTGTAATAAAAATCAAACCCGCAAAATTATAATTTGCGTAATTACTGGTGGTAGGACCTCTTGTGAGTCCACGTGGGTAGGTACCACCACCCTGCCTATTTCTGCCGTGAAGCAGTAATGCGTTTCGGTTTGAAGGGTGGGGCAACCGTTGTAACTATACTGAGACCTTAGAACTTATATCTCAAGGTGGGCGGCGCATTTACGTTGTAGATGTCTATGGGCTCCAGTAACCACTTAACACCAGGTCGGCTGTGACCTCGTCCACCCATCAAAGCAATAAATAAAAAAAGGTTTGTGTTTAATAATAATTTATATAAATTTAAAACGAATAAAATTAAACACGAATAATTTAATAAAAATCCTGAATGCACTGAACGTCAGTTATTCAGTACAAATATAGGCTATAACCTAGCTTAATTTAAAAAAGAGTAAAGTAAATAAAAAATCAAATCACTCACAACTTTATTAATTGATATACTTCAATGTGAAAAACGAATGAGAAAAACGCCCGTCGAAATTTGTAAAATGATTTAGGAAATATCACAAACCAAAATCTGTCTTGTACTATAGATATATTACTTATTTAGTCCACCCATGCTTACCCCAGTAACTTATTTCGATAATTAGTGTTAAACGACTAAACCTCACAAAACCGTTAAGTATTTTTAAGTACATTAACTTCTTTTATATGTATTTCAATTCCCAAAAATACATTTGAAAAAAGAATACTGAGAAATGAAATACCGATCACTATGTAATCAGAACGGATTCCTTGACAATTTTAGTCAAATCGTATTAATATGTATATTATAAAAAAAGTGTACAAACACGTATTATGCGCGATTTCTAAGGTTTATAGATGGAAGAAATTAATAAAAAAGAGCTTAAAACTATTCATTGCCATTTTTGGAGATCCATTTTCTATCTTCTAGCATTTTCTGAACTAAAAATACATTATATAGACGATTTGATATTAAAAATAAATTTAAATAAAGTACTATAAAAATAAATTTAAATAATTTACTATAAAAATAAATATATACTAACTATATATAATAAAAGAATGGGACGATCGACATTTGTCGGGCATGCCACCGTCCGAGAGGGACTATTAGACATCTTGTTTCTGGGTGTTCTCGTTTTGCTAATGGCGAGTACCTACTTGAATAAACATAACAAAGTTGCAAGGATTATCCATCAACAACTTGTTCTCAAATACACTTTTCTTGATTATGCTGCTGCTGTACCTTATTATCAATACCAACCTCAGCCAATTCTTGAAAATGGTCATGTTACGCTCTAATGGGACCGATCTATTATCACGGATAGCTATATTGTTGCATTGGTAGGCATTGCATTTTCAGGCTTATTGAAGACTGATAATGTGATAAGTAGGCTTGTCGAGCAGTGTTGGTTGATATTACCATTCCTCATGACGAGAACCTCGTGAAGGCAGAAAAGGACAAATTAATAAAATATTTAGACCTGGCCCACGAGACTACCGCCATGTGGCATGTTGATTCAACTATCATTGTTCCAGTAGGTATGTCGGTACACGGTTCGATAGCGAAAAGATCCGATCAACACCTTAAGAAACTCTCGTTATCCAGCTGGGTTAGGGGCCTGATACAGAAGGCTGTTATCTTCAATACTGCACGTATTGTGAGGAGGTTTTTGTAGTCTTAACCACCAGTAACTTGCGTCGTAGACACCGCCATCAGCGGCAATCTATTTTTATATACCTAGTGGTTTTTAAAAATATTAATTTTAATTTCTTTGAAATCTTAAAAATCTTAAATCTTAAAAAATATTGTACAATCAATAAAATTTTAAATAAACATAATAATAAAAGATTATACCTAATCAATTCGTTTCTTAAAAAAGGTGAAAATAACAAAATTGATTTTACGATCGAAAAATATAGAAAAAAAAACAAACGTGTGGCACTCAGGAACTGCCACGGTAAAGCTATTGCATAGCATTTTTTATCAACTTATGCAATTATAATTAGACAATGATAATTTAATATTAAAACAATAATGAAAACAACAATAAAACAAGACCACGCTATATTAAACATTAATAAAAGCAAAACCTTAACTGTCCCCTTAACACTCATAAGCTAGACCGCGCGAGAGAGAGATTGGCAGACTTTTCATGATGCGCATGCAGTGTGACGTCACGCCACGCGCTTATTCACAAATACTACACAAGCGCAACGTGTGAATGTTTTGAACGCGATCTACATGGTAGGCGGAGTGCGGGGTGTAAGGTTTTTTTCGTTACGGAATTTCATGAGTCGGTGGCCGCGCTCAAGGCCCGCGATAAAAGCTATGCAATAGCTTAAAAATGTTCATACTCGAAAGAAAATCATTACATTTTTTTATAGCCGTGTGAATTGATTAATTAAAGTTCAGTCGTTATGGGGAGGGAAGGCACAACCAAGAATCAACTTATGAAGCCTAAATATAAATTAAGAAATTTTGGTACTAATGATACCTACTTAAAAACATTGTAAGAAATGTTCTGTTTAATTCTGGTTTTGAAACATTATATAAATCAATCAATATCGTAATCAGAATAACAAAGTATTTTAATTACGACAAAGCAAAGATTATGATTTTAACTTAAAAAACAAAAATCCTTACCTTATAAAAAGAAAGGTTGATTTGAACGTGTATACGATACCAGGTTGTCCGATAAGCGATTTAGGGTCACAGTACACATATCAACTCGAAAAGCGATCGTCACGGTATTGCCTTTCGTTTCCGTCAAACAGTGTAACCAAAGTGGATTAGCAGCTCCGATACGGCTACAGCTAGGCGACGCGGACGCCGCCGCGCCGCGCTTACTCCAGGCAGGCCGCGGAAGATATGACACGGGCAATGGTGGACGAAGAAATGCAAGCGCGGCGACCGACAGACGTAAACGCGGGGATTGCTAGTTAGTTGGCCACACCATAGATTATACACTTAATACATTTGAGAGGCCACGCGTCACACCATGGATCGTACTTATACCGAAACGAATCATTTACGTTACGATTTAAATTAATGTGCTTTTGCGTATGAAGTTTCATACAAAGAATATTAAATGGCACGAGTTGATACGGTTACGATCCCTTTCAGAGTTGATATGTTTGCTATGACCCTTAATAAGAATATATTTACGCTTAATTTCCTTTTAAAGTAGCGTGAGCGAGATTTGAATTAACCTTTACATTGTTTTCATATTTTTTTCTGTTTATTTTTAATACAAATATATTGAAATTCTATTTCAGTTCCTCATTCAATCGTGTTAATTTGCTTTGTTTTCGTAATTAACATTTAAAAAACTTCAAAGTTTATTTAAGCACAGAAACTCGTCAAGATTCTAAAAACAAAAAAAAGAATGAAAATGAGGTATCAAACAAATAAGAAAATGGTACTAAACTGAGCTTCGCCTATTTATACATTAAAGCGATAATTAATGATATCCACATTGAAACATAACGTTCACATATAAAAAATGTAGAAGAATTTTAAAAATGTTGGGTAATACCAATGAGTGTTTTTTTTAATACTAGGTGTATTAAAAAAAAACTATTGTTATTTAGTTATTAATTAGTGAAAACAGGTGTGATTCTAGAAACCTTACCTAAAATGCTAACAAGATCGGAGAACCTAGTTTCATCGTAATGAATGTTTAATGGATAGAGGGCAATCATTTATTTTTATTTCGATTTTGACAAGCAGCTTAAAATAATAACAGCAATATCCTAATTATGTTCTGCTAGGCTTTTTGTTCCTGCAGCATAATGCGAATACACTAATTCATATAAAAACACAAAATACAAATAACTGTTTCACAACCATCCATTTGTTAGTAAATGCCATGTTGAATTGTGTTAACTGTCAGAATTCATAAACAGCTCCTACAAAATATTAGATAAAATAAATAAGCAAACAATCAATTTTCTCGAGCTCTTCAAGGTGCTCGGCTAACTTCGTGCTACAACAGAGCCTAGCCAATGGAGGCGGGTATAGACACCATTTTACACTTACCAACCAGCCTTCTTGAAGAGCAGTGCCTCCGTCCTAAGAACTGTCATTCGTTTTCGTTTGCCAACATCAAGAGATGATTTCGAAATTGTTCTAAGACAAGAAAACATAATTTTCTTAACTCCATCACCCCATTCGCCCCTATGATGTCTAGTGATGGTGTTAATAATGCGGTTTCTCCAACATATACAACATGTAACATATTTAACGCACACCCTCAAACACCCCAATTAGACTTTAATAGTATAAACGCTATGCATACACCAAATATTATTTATATGTGCGTTAACATTGATTATTTGTGAAATTAGTTATTCCAATTTCGTGGAAATAAAATGGTCACCGATTCACACTCAGCTGCGCACGCACACACAGACACCTACTCGCCGCGCCCCTTGTTCAATGCACTTTAATGACCGTTTTCGTATTTGTTGTTTTATTTTAGATAATACTGCAATGTCACTTTTCACTTTATCAAAGGCGGTTATTATCTTATTCTTTAGTTCTTCGGCACTTATTGTCTGTGTGTTATAAACTAGCGATTTAATTCGCCCCCACAAAAAAAAGTCGAGAGGCGTCAAATCAGCTGATCTAGGAGGTCACTGACCGAAAAGACATAGCGAAATACGGGAGATATTTTATTTGCACTATCACTTGACCTCTTATCGATAAGGTGGACGCGGCGTGACTGACTTGTCAAAAATATTTTGTTGACTTCGTTGTTTAGATTTTTCTTTGATCACCGCCGACGCAACCGCGTCGCCGCGAACATCGGGATTAGCCTGCCGTTTATTGTAAGAATATTATGCCGACGAAAGAAAGGGATAGTAATTATTTTTGTATTACGTGGTTTTCTTTTATGTATTGTAGTGTTGCTGTGTGCCGGCGGTTGGTATTGTGTGCGTAGGTATTTTATTTTGTAATAGACTATTAGCCTTGAAATAAGTATCAGATTTATTTAATTAAATAATATTTTTTTTTACTAATTAGATATTTCATTTTAAAAAGTCTTAATACCGTGACTTACGTTCCATTTTCGTTTCTATGAACTGTTTAGCTAGCTGTGTAGGGTGACTGTAATTTACTTAGTTTTAACTAAATTTTAGAAAAAAAAATTGGTACATAAAAAACAATCAAAATCGATCCAGATTCCGATTCTGAACAAATTACTTTCAGGGTGTGCGTTAATTATGTTACATGTTGTATATATCCATATAAAAATTTAGCCTTTCTGGAATCTACTTGAGTTTAACCGAAAATAATAATACAAATGCTTTGTCTTAATAGTAATACTTTCTGCGTGAATCCTTAAAAATAAAAATCTATATCTAATCTGAAAAATTAAGTACATAATAATTTTATTTGCAATAGTGTAATTTAAATTATGTCTTGATTGTATTTGACTTTCAAAGTTCTGTTGCATTATTGTCCCTATTTATTTTACAATTACAATATACCAGTAAACAACTATATGGACTCAAGCCTTCATCAGTCAAAAATTAGATTATATTTTGAAGACCATATACATAACATTTCAATAAATTTCAAAACAAATGAAGTCAACTAATATCTAGAATTCCAATTTTGGTTTAGAAGCATTTTTATATTCTCTCTCTCTAGAAATTTCTTTCATTTTTATATTCTCTCTCTCTAGAAATTTCTTATAATTAATCAAGCTTATGTTGTAGATTGATTTAAGCAACAAGATTTTCCTGAAGTTATAGAATTTCAGATATAAGTAACCCTTAATGGGCAATCTACATGCTCAATGTACTTTAACCTAGTTTAAAAATCCACAGCTGATATTGTCACTGCCTTGTGTCTCCGTTCATTCTGAACTCCCAATCTTCATAGTGTCTGATGATTGATTCTCATAGGTCTTAACATCATAATTTGTCACAAGCAAGGTGGCGGCAGCGGTATGTCAATTAGTTTGCAGATCTCCAGAAGGAAATTCTTCAGTATTGCAGGTTGATTACTTCTGGAGCCATTTAATATTACAGTTGGTATAAAAGTTGGATTTAAAATGTGTGTGTCATCACCATGCTTCTTCAATAATTCTGACCCATGATCTGTATTTGCACAGTTACTTATTGGATCAGAGTCTATATTCATTGATTTTGAACACTGTAAAATATAATAATATTATTAAATAAGAAATTGGCAAACAGTATTGTTCCATTGCACAGTGTTTAGCATAGTATAGCTGTAATTGTATTTTCTTATGAATTGAATTACAGGAGCTAGTAATAAAAAAATACCCTTTGAAGAGCTTCATCAGCATCATTATTATCTGTGATCATACATGTGGTAAATTTCACAGCCTTAGTCATATTACTCACAGCCTCTATTGAACAAGAATGTATTTTATTAGCATAGCACTCTTCTTCACCATGCTGACATGAAAATATGTACTTTCCATTGATTTCTTTGGTCTGTAAATAAATTTTATTTTCTAGTGAATTTTGTGTAATTCAATCTCAAAGCATCCTTATCCTTTAATATGTTAGTTATTGTTTAACATACCGTCGCTTTGCCATAAGGAACTAAAGTCACATCTAGGAACTCTGAAAGCTTTTCTGTCACAGGTGCTAAATTTTTGACAAAAAAATATTTTGAGTCAGGACATAGAGCCTCATAGTACACTCGCACCTTCACTTTATCCTGCTTGTGCTTGTTATATTTATCATCTTCGAGCTCCAATATGTCGGTATCTACGCTCTTTAAAAAGAGAAGATTAAAAATAATAATTTAAATAAAAAACTGTTATCTAGAAAATTCAATTGATAACAATGCTTACTTTCAAAACGTTTATAATAACTTACCTCTGAAAACAGAGCTACAGGTTTTTCTGGTATTAGTCGAAAAAACTGCCACATAATCAAACTCAAAAGCACAAGCACGATTATTCTGTATCTATTGCAGTGATAGAATGCCATTTTCATTCATTGAAGTCTTTCGAACACTTTATTATGTTATTTTTATCAAGATCTGATCTTTCTCAGCCTCTAATTCTTAGTATTTTGAAAAAATATGTTATCATTTTATTGATACCTCACAATGGGTAATCTACATATTATCAAACTCAATGCACGACTGCCAACAATTGCTCTTTTTTTTTGTCATATTTTTGGTATGATAATATACATCATTACGAAATGTTAAAGCCCTGAAAATACGAATACCAAAGTGGTACATACATGAATTATTGTTTTTTTTTTAATTCTTGGCTTGAATTCAGTAACCTATCAATTTTGCACAAGTGACAACTGACAAATTGTTTGAAAACGGGCATGATTTTTTTAAGGGATTTTATGACCTGGTAATTAAGACCTTTAGGTCAAATCTTATTTAATTTATATTCTTATTTTTATGAAAAATGATAATATGAAGTGAAATGAAATGAGATAATATGGTATGAAATATAATCTCAGTAAAGTAGCTGTCATTTACTGAGACTTTTTGGAGGATCCCGAGAAGTTACGTTCTGCGACTTTATTTGCTTTTTCCACATTTGTGCACTTTCACAGATACTAAACAGTTAATAAACCACCGTTATTACACATTGAAACCTGAAGAAACACTAAACAGACAAAATAAAACAACTCACACAACTTAACTCCTCGCGTTCGCGCCAAAACGTCCCAACGGGCATGATGTCTGAATTTCCACACACACAACCACACTTCTCTCATTTACTTTTTGAAAATAAGTTTTATTAAAACAAAAATTAAAGGCTTTGAACACAAATGCTTTAATTAATACAAATTCAACTTTGCGTCAAAAAGCGAGAATAGTACAATACGGCCGTTTTCCAATTACAGCACAAGAGCGCATTATGCGGCATAATGCTCAACTAAGCTTCAGCATAATTCGGCATTGTGCGTCACTGAGTCGCATTATGCTCTGTAATTAGCCNAATGCTCAACTAAGCTTCAGCATAATTCGGCATTGTGTGTCACTGAGTCGCATTATGCTCTGTAATTAGAAAACTACCATTAAGTAATGGTTAATTAGAAAACTACCATTAAGTAATGGTTAATTACAGAGCATAATGCGACTCAGTGACGCACAATGCCGAATTATGCTGAAGCTTAGTTGAGCATTATGCCGCATAATGCGCTCTTGTGCTGTAATTGGAAAACGGCCTAAGTATGTTTTCGATTTTTATTTAGCCGGGATCTATGGTCACTCAGGACTAAAACAATTCCTATACGTTGTTTATTTTCAATCCTATAATTTTCGTCGTAAATCCCATCAGACTGGCTAAATAATCCTCAAGTACTGGTCGTGGAAGGAATATATTTCATAAGCTTGGCTTTTTCTTCTAACTTGGTGCTCTCGTCAAACCAAGGGTAATGAATCGTGAAATTATGGTAAGAACTCATTAAATAATAATGTTTATAATTAGTTTTGCGTTAGGGTTAAAATAAACTCACAACAAGTATTTACATCTTATTTATTTCATTCTATCAATTGTAGTGAATTAAATTTTTCTACGTCATAGAAACCAGCTTTAACTTGTCTCCCACCAAAGAAACGTCCATTAAGATCAACTACTGCTTTAATAGCACTTTCAATTCGTTTGAATTCAACAAATATTCTAACTGCTTCATCTGACGGTACATTCGGCATTTCAAAAATGAGCACTTTGACTACTTCTCCATATTTTGTGTTGCATTCATCTTTGACTTCGGGTTCTAGTTCTTCGTCAACGTCGCCTGGACCAACCATATTCTGTAACATTTATTTTAGTAAATTGGTGGAGAAGCTGTTATGTTTAATGATGATATTAAGTTCTAAGACGAAAGCATTTAATGGCGATTGGTGAGTTGAGTTTTGCATGAGTAAGTGCAACTGCGGCTTTGAAACAGTTCAAACTTCAACTCAACATAAATCAGAATGAATTACTGTTTCGCAATAGAGATATCCATTTTACATACGTACAGAGTAGTCAAACAACAATCAACATGTAAATTGCAATGTAGACTAATAAATAAATTCGAATTCGAAGTTAAATTTGTAATGTTATTTTAGGCTAATTAGGTTGACTTACTCTAAGCAGTACAACTTTGCTTGGTGTCTTCATTATTTCAGTTATTGATGGCTCGTTTCTTGACAGAAGCGGTGAATTAGATGATGTATTTGGCGAATCTAGAATTGAAATATTATTGAAAGGAAGT